GTAGGATTTTCAAACTCCCTCAGACTCCTTTTGAAAAGCTCCTGACTTCAGAAATGCAAGTAGCCCTAACAGCCAATGCTTCGGAAACTTGTGTATTACCCCGAAAATTAAGGTAGGCTTCTAGACTAGGAGTTTCAACACACAGCATGTTTAAGAAGGTGGCAAAGGTTTCATAGATTCATGAATTTCAAGGCCAGAAGGGACCATTATTATGATCTAGTCTGACATCCTGTATAACCAGGCTTGAAAAAATTCAAATTTTGGTTTATTTAAAATATATTTTTGATGGATAATATCAACGTTTATTTGTAAACATTTTTATCAATTTAAATTTTCACAGCTGTGGGAAATTTATGGGCGGGGGGGGAGATCAGACAATAATTATGTAATGACAGTGGACATTGAGATTCAAAAAGTTTAAGCTTTATAACCCTTAAAACACAAATTGTCAATGTCACACGTCAAAATATACGAAGTAAATAGCCTTAAATTAAACTCTAATGAGTTCTCAAGCAACATTTTTCTTATGTTGCTGGGCTATACATTTCTATTATCAACAGAAATATTTTTTCATTGCTTTGTGTGTATGATGAAATTGACATTTACTGATAAAAAGCTGATACCTCCAAGCCCACTTATGCAGCATTCATTACAACTCATTTTATACACATTAAGGTGGGACTCTAATAAGTGCTCCAGCAGCATTTTTCTAACTTTGCCTATGTCTACATTTCTATTATCAATGGAAATATTGTTCCGTTGGTTTGTGTGTGTACATTGAAATCCATGTTCACTGACATTTACTGATAAAAAACAAATGCTTCCAAGTATATGTATAACATATGCCAAAGAATCCCACCAAATGATTCCTGCATAACTTGTTTGTGAGATATAGCAGATAGCAATGCAGTTTTTAAAAAAACAGGCTAATTTGGTGGATAGAACGACCAGCTAGGACTCAAGGGACCTACACTTTACCCCAGCTCAGCCACTCACCTGCTGTGTGACCTTGGGTAGATGGTTTCCTCCCTTTGTTTCACCACACACCCTTTGTATCTCTTGTTTACTTAGGTTGTGAGCTCACTGGACTGGGGTAGGGCTATCTCTCACTATGTGTCTGTACAGTGTAAACAGGGCTCTAATCTCAGCTGTCACCTCTAATTGCTACGGTATTACAAATCATAGTGGAGATGATGGGAAATGCCCAGTTGAATTGTTATTAGGCTTATTCATCCCTAGATGCAGCTTCCTGTTAATGTCCTAGGATTCTAAGCACATAACCTCCAGTCTAAGCTCCATTATGAGTGTGCCAGACATGGCAATTTCCTGCAATATCCTTGGGATACCTTCCTGGATTAAGTTTAAGTCTTTTGGAGGTCCATTGTATTCAAAGAACGGTTTGTGTATTATTGTGGGTCAGAATTGTATGCAACCTCTCAATGGGGGAGATGTGACAGGTGTGAGATGTAGGGGGTTCAACAGACTATATTGAAAAATGTGCCAGACAAGAACAGATTTTTGAGACAAAAGTGGGGGATATTCCTGAGGAATATGTAGGGGGAGGTGAATGCAAATTCCCCACCTCCAGTTATGTAAATTCCCCACCTATGCTTATGCAAAATCCCAGCCATTTGTAGCTACACCCTGAGCAGTGGGCCATTGTCTGCTGATCACCTGTTACATGACGATAAGATCAAAGGTCCAAGATATCTAAAGGAAAGATGGAACTTTTCATGGTTGTTCTGGTTCTGAATCTGAGACAGTTATGAACTTGTAATGACAGGGAAAACCCAGTTGTGGATCTGATTGACTGACACCTACCAGAGCCTGAGGCTGGAGTTAGGTGACCTCTGCTAGTCTTTTTAGCATGTGTGTAGGCTATTTTATTATTTTAATATGTTTTCTCTATAATGCTTTCACCTTACAATAAATGTCCTTGCTTATAAAGAACTGCATGGTAACATAACTGTGAGCCATTAAGCTCTTCATAGCCTTCGGAGAGAAAAGAAAGCACTGGTGCTGGCATGTTTAGGCAGTGTGGCTAAACAGTATAGGCAGAGAATGTGCAGCCTGGAGAAGGCCTGATCAGGAGGGGGAGAGACATGGTTCTCCACCTAAGAAAGGTGATGGCTGAGGAGCCAGGAGCCTAAAATGTGGCCTTCAGTGGACCACGAGGGGAGAATACAGGTGCAGTTGCCCTGAACTGTGACAATGACTACCAGATGCTATGGGTGATCCCCAGTTCTACTCTTAGCATGTCCATTCTTCTCTAGGTGCCCCTCCCATTCATTCCAGTGGGAGTGGTGGGTAATAGAAATAAAGTATTATTATTATTAATAATAATAATAATAATAAAACAGGAGTGTTAAACATTTCCCCCCTAAAAATCTCACAGAAGGGGCAGTGAAAACCAATGGGATGTAAACTCTGAACAATATTTGATTTTTTTATGTTGGTTCAATTAAAATATCTGGATTGTTCATGGCAAACTGGGCTAATAAAGGGAGAACAATAAGAGTTTGAAAATCACCACTCTAAAATTTTCACTGGAGTCTCTCCTGTTTCTTTCAGGACCCCTTTTGCAAAAAATCTAAAACACTCTGAGATCTGTGCTTTGCTGGAATGACTGCTTTCCATGCTGCTATTGCCCCAGTATCAGATATGCACAGTGTTTATCTGTGAAGAGTTCTTCACCTTTTAGGAACTGCTGAAAATAAATTCATCAAGAACCATGGTCAGGTTTAATGAGTGAGAGTAAGGCACTTTGGAGTCCGACTTCAACATGGGATGGAAGATGCTTTTGCAACTGCAAAGTAGTATGATTAATATGTCTACTTTTATACATTACTCTTATAACTGCAGTGATAGAAAATCAAATCTAATCTATCTATCTATCTATCTCAGCTTCACAAAGAAATGAAAAATCAGTAATTATTTTGCTTCTTTTTACTATACAATTATATCTGGGTACAGAATGTACCTATGGCTGCAGAAAGAAAACACTCTACCACAAAATGTCTGACTCCAATCCAGTGCATTGCATCGGGACCAGGTTCTGCAACATAGAGGGGAGTGGAACCTTAAGCTGCTTTCACTTTCTGCTGCTTTGTCCTCTTCCTCCTGCAGGGATGGAGAACCAGACAGAGGTGAGTGAGTTCATTTTCCTGGGCCTCACCAATGTGAGAGGTCTACAGTGCTATCTCTTTGCCCTCTTCCTGCTGCTCTACATGGCCAGCATTTTGGGGAATGGAGCCATTGTGGCTGTGGTACTGGCTGAGCCCCGGCTTCACACCCCCATGTACTTCTTCCTGGGAAATCTCTCCAGCCTAGACATCTTCTACTCCACAGTCACTGTGCCCAAGATGTTGGCTGGCTTCCTCTCGGGGCACCAGACCATCTCCTTCACCAGCTGCCTGGCACAGCTCCATTTCTTCCATTTCCTGGGCAGCAGTGAGGCCATGCTGCTGGCTGTCATGGCCTATGACCGCTACGTGGCCATCTGCCACCCACTGCGCTACACACTGGTCATGAGCCCACAGGCCTGCCTGCTGCTGGCAGGAGTCACCTGGGCCACTGGCTTCCTGCACGCCCTGATGCACACGATCATGACCTCCCGCCTGCACTTCTGTGGCCCCAACCATATCCACCACTTTTTCTGTGACATCAAGCCCCTGCTGAGTCTGGCCTGCAGCAGCACCCGCCTCAACTTGAGCCTCCTCCACATCGTCACTGGGATTGTCGGTGTGAGTCCGTTCATCATCACGCTCTTCTCCTACCTCTACATCATCTCCTTCCTCTTCCTGAAGGTCCGGTCACGGGAAAGCAGGAGAAAGGCCTTCTCCACTTGCACCTCTCACCTCACCGTGATAGCACTGTACTATGGGACAGCGATCTTCGCCTACATGCGTCCTTCTTCAGGAAGCTCCAAGGGAGAAGAGATGATCATCACCCTAGTGTACAGTGTCATCACCCCAGCTCTGAATCCCTTCATCTACACCCTGCGGAACAGTGAGGTGAAATGCGCCACCAGGAAATTCATCACTAGAAAACTCTTCCCTGAAAGGAACTGAATAAAATGACTG